AGATGGGAGCCATGGGGCAGATCTCAGGTTCACCCAGCTGAGCAATTGCTACCAGCTGTGCAGTGTCTGTCTGCTCCTGAGCTCCTGCTGCACTGAGCAGCTGCAGAGGTCTCCAATGCTGTGCAGGCTGCAGCGCACACTGATGTCGTGGCTGCACTCTGCTCCCACCCAGCTTGTTGCCAAAAGCAATTTGGCAGCGGCAGCCAAACAAAGCTGCCTGCTTGCCTTTAGAATAAACTATGTTGCCCAAATAACGTAAATCACCAGGGCTGCTGTTCCAAACTGATCAGAGACAACTGCAGAAGGTCAGTGGTGAAGGAATAGAGTTCAAGAGAAGCATCTCTGCACTCATCCTGAACACGAGCTGTCTTAAAAGCTGAGTCAGGAGCAGGACTCCTCTCTTGTGACATTATTAATGGGCAAAACCCATCCTCTTGGTGGAGGATGTTACAGTCATAGGCCCCTGCAGAGGCTCCAAATCCTTTTTGTTTTCTATGAAGGCAATGAGGAAATGCTCTTCAGCAGTGCCTGGTTAAGTTCTTTACTTCCTCTCTTTTACTCAGAGAGTGGTGAGGTGCTGGAACAGCTGCCCAGAGAGGCTGTGATGCCCCGTCCATCCCTGGAGGTGTTCAAGGCCAGGTTGGATGGGGCCCTGGGCAGCCTGGGCTGCTGTGAGAGGGGGAGGTTGGTGGCCCTGCATTGGTGGGGGGTTGGAGCTTCGTGATCCTTGAGCTCCCTTCCAACCCAAACCGTTCTGTGACGCTGTGATCCACATGAGTGACCACAGAGCAGGCAGCGACGCTCTGTGCAGGCGTCTGGTAACGTGTGCTCCCATACCCATGGAGAAACACCTTGATGAATGCAGCAGCCGGTGCAGATGTCTCAAGTGATGATGCCTCAGATGATCACCCCTGCAGTGCCATAACCCGATGGGTGTCAGCCCCAAAGGTGCTGCAGAGAAAGCTCCCTTCTGAGTGCCACCACCTGCCTGCAGCTGCTGTTTGTGCTCGCTGCGGGGGCAGCCAGCATTGCAAGAGGTGACTTTGGCACAGCTGCACAGAGCCTTCGTTAAACTCTATGGGAGAGCATTGCCAGGATGAAGAAACTGAGGGGATTTTTTTCAGCTTCTGCGATTGTGAAACTTCAGATTCTTGGCAAGTGAGGCAGGACGAGAGCTGCAGAGGGCTGTTAAGTGGCATTCCAGCAAGTACATTTCTTTGAAATCAGTCTCAAGTCACTCGTATTGCACAATGCTGCTTTGTCAAGCTGTGCTCAGGGGTGAACCATCAGTGCAAGTGCTGCCCACACAGCTGTGGGCAGAACAGGGAACTGGGCAGGATTGAAGTGTGCACCTCTGCCTGCTCTGGGGGTCACAGCTGTTCCGTGCCCCAGCTCAGCCCTGCTGCCATTCTGAGCCTCATTCAGAGCAGGGGCTGCAGCACTGCTCTGGTTATTCTCCACTGCTCTTTTATCTCCTGGCCCCTGGTCTGGTATTAAATGTGGAGGTTGGTGGCCCTGCCTGCAGCAGGAGGGTTGGGGCTTCATCATCCTTGAGGTCCCTTCCAGCCCGTGCCATTCTGTGATGCTGTGAGCAGCCTTATGCTTCTATGCCAGGCGTGCACCCAGGGCAGGCACAGCGATGCTCCTGCAATCTCCATGCTGTGGGCTGGTGGGATTTGTGGGCACCGGTACTGGATGGGAGCAGGAGGTATTGATAGAATAGAAAGAAAGAAAGAAAATGGTTTTGTTGGACCTCGTGGAGCCCTTGAGAAAGGCCATGGAAAATTGTTTCTACAGCCCAGAGGCTGCAGTGTTCCAAGGGTCCAGGCTGCTGCTGAAGCTCACTATGGAGCAGTGCTGCTCTTACAGCTGCAGGAGCCCAACTCAGTGGTGCCCTGTATGGCCCTGCTGCTGGAGCCCAGCGCAGTGCTGCCCTGCTGTGCCCTGTGCCCAAGCCAAGGGACACAACTGCTGCTCTGTTCTCCCTGTTTCTGACCTCCTGTCTCCCCCCAGTGTCCCAGCTCACGGCACCACATAACCCCACTGTGACAAACACCGCCGTGCTCTCCTGTGCCCCCCTTCCTCAGTGGGTTGGATCAGGTTTCCATCTCGGCCCCAGGCCTCCAACCCGGCCCTGTTCAGGGCTTCCTCCTCTCCTGTTGGCCTTGAAAGCCATCGGTGCTCGCTCACCCGCGGAGCAGCAGGCAGTAAATCTCTGCGCTGCCTTTTGCAGCAGGACTGGCTGTTAACAAACCCCGCGTTTTGTTGCTGCACTCGGTCTGCACAGTGTTAGTAAACACAGAGGCAATGGGTCTGGAGCCAAAACCTGCTCCCAGAACGCTGTGCACAGTGTTCATGGCTGCTTAAAGTGCAGACAGACAGAAGGACACGGATCCCCGCTTTTATCAGCGCTGCCATTGCAGCTCAGTGGGAGCTCAGAGCTCTGTGCTGCAGCGAGCAACAAGTTAAACTGACACCTCATCACCGAGGATTCAGAAAGCACACCCAAATTTGCTCAGCCCTGTCCAGAACTGGAAGCTGACGTCAAACGCTGTGAGTTTACGTCTCTTTATTTTGATGTTCTCCTTTCCAGCTGGTTCCAGCCTCTGCACATAGAATTCAAACACACTGGGTTCACATCAGCCCACGTCCATGCACTGCCCCGGCTGGGCTGTGCGCTGTGCCTGCGCCCCCAGGCTGCCGACCAGCACAGCCGGCACCGAGCAGCGGGATCTTTGCCATGGGTTCCCTGCTATGGATTCCTCACGGCGGGGTCCCGTTGAAGCCAACCCACCTCTGCCCTCGCCATCCATCCCGCACACCCCGTGTGTTCGCGGCACTCATTTCCCCTGCGGAGCCCGCAGGAGCGCCCGGCACGCAGCGATGTCCCGCAGCGATGTCCCGCAGCGATGTCCCGCAGCGA